AATGGAATGTTATCGAGAGCTTTTTTCGCCTCTTTACATCTTGACGAACTTGTAGAAATTCTTGTGTATATTCATGGTCGAAAAAAATAGTGTACGGGCGAAGCCATCACAGGGCTTTTTTTATTTCGTTAATATTTACGATCGACTGTTTTCGCAGTGTTTTTACAGTGCAGTTTGTTAATTTTCAGGATTCCTCGTCAAATAGAACAATCTTATTGGACTTCAGAAATGGACTTCTAATTTGAACAATGATCCGCGCCTTTTCAAAACGGATACGGCTAGCGTGTTCAATAATCAAATAATCAATTCATTATTGCATTCTTGAAACGACTGGCGGGGTTCAATTTCCAAATGATCAATTCATTAATGTAATCTTAAGGAGTACGCTTCACTTAGTTTGACTGTAAGTTCTCTCTGTAAATTTTGACGAGGATTCCAAGAAAGCTTTAATTCAGGCTGAGGCAATAAAAACAAATTTGGTTGAGGAAAAATAGTGGCTTTTTTGTATTTAAAATATCTAAATCTTAGGTTATGACTAGTTCTAATGGTTTTTTTGAATCGAATTGAATAATGATCTTTTTTAAAAGGCTAGGAAACGCGTGTAAATGTCCTCAGCGAAAGAGATTTTTTCTTTTGCTTTAAAATATAACCAATTCGCTTTTAGATCTACAAATACAGGGAACACGTAAGATTGAACCGAAATTGACAATTTCGATTAAAGTTTTAAAATGAAATAGTGCAATGGATATGACAGAAACTCCCAGGTTGTTGAACAAATTGTTACAAACAGACCCAGCACTCAGCACGTGATCATATGTCCGGATGTTGAACGAGAAAACTTCCGCAGAATTTCTGGGGGAAGTGTGACTCCATCCTTTATCCCCATATTTAGCTTTATTATCTCTCACTTCCTGCTTGATAATTATGTGGAATTGTGGCCTAATACAACCCGAACCGCTGCCGTGGTAAATCAACTTAGTACCAAGAAATCATTGAGTTGACTCTGAACATTCAGTATTTTTACTTTCGGCGCCAGCGGTCGGGCGATGAAGGATATGATTAAACGCGTGTTCCATCAGGCATTAGCTATCTTGTGGTATATTCGAAGAATAAATTGGAACTCCTTTGGAGAGAAAGGCGTGGATTAAGAAGGATGGGAATGGCACCAGTGCCTCATCCTCCGGCATAGTTCAGTTGTTTTGTAATCAAAGGATGTTTTCTAAGCCTGTGTAGAGGGCGGCAAGAGGTGTTGAAGTACACAAGGAATGTTCAGGCGCTATAATATGAATATTTCTCGGCTTCGCGCAAGTGAAAACAAATTAGCGAAATAGATAGTCGAACATACCCAACCAGACTCTTTCCTTATTTTTCCTTCGGTCACCCAGTAACAGGAAAGTGTTCTGTTACAACGGTTGACTTCAAAACAAAAAACCAATGACAAAAACAGCGGATTCGGGGAAGAAGAAGCAGTCAAAATTTTGGTTATAAAAGCAGTTTCTCTTGATATCTCCTAGTTGTTAACTCGTTTCTCCGGCCGATTCGAACGAACCTCGAGTGAAAAAAAAAATTCTTCTCTTCCTTGCCGTTTTCCTAGCGTCCCGCGGCGGTCGTTAGGCTCTGTTAGATAAAATCATGCGGGACTCTACCAGTGTGGACAAACCCTGTTGAGACAATTTTTCCATAGGCATAAGATAGCATCATTTCCTAGAATATCACTCACCCACATAGAGAAAAAAAGCAGCTCCTTTTAATTTCCTTCTCTCTTCAATGTTGTTTCGTCTATTTCGTCCAACTATACCTAAGTGTGTTCTCCGAGGAAAAACGCCGGAGGAAAAAATTCAGAGGAAAAAAGTGGCAGAAAGAGCGGGTTATATCAGCCAGGGTTGAAAATAAAAGTAAATATTTTAACGCAGTTGTAGTGTATGGTATAGCTTAGCCAGCCAACGAGCTCTCTAATGATGCTCCGGTGGAGTTGTTTAGGGTAACAAACAAATTTCTTACTTTCCAGCTACCACTAAAATGTTATGATCTTCAACAATTCTCTTGTTGAAATTTTTTAATTGGGTACTTCGAGGATTTACAACATACCAACAAAGGCATTAGAATGATGAAAAATGTAATACAGGGATTAAATTAGTCTAAAACACGGTTCAACCACAAAATAAATGACAGATAAAAAATAAAGACGTATTGGATAAGGAAAAGCGTAATGAAACCGCAGACATTGTTTTTGAATAAAAAATGATAATGAAATAAAATAATTTGTCAAATTCATTTGTGTTCAGAAGGAAAATTCTTTGTGAGACAAAAATGATGCCTGACGTTATAAATTAAGGCAAGGAAAAAAAATTGCTAAATCATGTAAAAGCCAAGTAAAGTTTGATTGTTATTCTAAGAAAGTCTCACCCGACTACGTTTGAGCTGAGTTCATTAAAATTTCATTCGCAGCGAAGGAAGTGTAATTTTAAGCTTTGAGATAAGTCGGATAATCTTTTGCGTCGCCCCAAGAAAACTATTTTTTCACACTGAAGTACGCTCTCGTCAGTCTGGTTGAATTCTTAGGGGCGTAAGCATTGGCGGAGAGCATTACACACCTAAACACACATTTTAAACTCAAATTACAGTTAGGGTAACTCGCACAAGAAAAATTCGACGCCCTTGGTACAAAGGTAAATAGGCGATTAGGGTGAAGTGAAACAA